TTTTACCCTTTTTAAAATTGTTTCTCCTCCAGCTATGTGTTTTCAAACAGCTTGTCTTCAAGCTCAGATTTTTCTATTTGATAGATTCTGCTGTTGATATTCTCTATTGCATTTTTCATTTTGTTCATTGTATTTTTCAACTCCAGGATTTCAGTTTGTTTAATCTCTCAAGTCATCTCTGATAAATTACTGAATTCTTCCCCTGTGTTTTATTGAAGTTCATTGAGTTTCCTTGAAACAGCTATTTTGAATTCTCTGAGACATCACACATTTCCATCACTTGAGGGTTGTTTCCTGGTGCCTTATTTTGTTTGTTTCATGAAATTATGGTTCCTAAATACTTTCTTAAAATTTTTCTTTGAGACAGAGTCTCACTCACTCTGTTGCCCAGGCTCGAGTGCAGTGGAGCGATCTTGGCTCACTGCAGCCTCTGCCTCCCAGGTTCAAGCAGTTCTCCAACCTCAGCCTCCTGAGTAGCTGAGATTACAGGCATGTACTACCACTGCTGGCTAATTTTTATATTTTTAGTAGAGACAGGGTTTTACCATGTTGGACAGACTGGTCTTAAACTCCTGACCTCAGGTGATCCACCCACCTCAGCCTCCCAGTTGTTGGCGTGAGCCACTCTGTCCGATCCCTGAGTATTCTTCATGCCTTTGGCCTGCCACAACATCTGAACATTGAGGGATTAGCTGTTTATTCCCCGTTCACAGTCTGGTGGTGGTTTGTTCCTGTTCTTCCAGAAATTCTAAGCAGGGCAATTATTGTGTTCTCTGAGCCCTTGGCCACTATCACTGTTTCAGCACTAGATGGCACCGTAAGCCCAGGTTTGCAGTGAATTCACAGTTGGTTTGTGTTCTGGCCCAGATCAACTAGGGGAGAGACTGGAGGGTAGTTTGTCTCTCTGGGTGTGTGAGTTTCCACCTGCGGCCAGGACACGTTAGGCACTGTGTCACTCTGCTCAGTGTTTGGGCCTCACCACAGCATGCTCCAAAACAACATTGTGTACCTGTTCCCTTCACCTCCTTTCAAGCATCAGTGTCTCCACACTGTGCTGCCTGGGGTTAAGGGAAGAGGTGGAGCAGGCAGTATTGTGGCCAGATGGCCACTGTAATACTAGGTCACACCCGAAAACCACAGCTGCCAAGACAAGCACAGCACAGGGGTATGCTCAAGACCCATGCAACTATGGCCTGCCTGCTGCTGAGGTTTATTTGTGGCTCAAGGCCACTGCAGACATAGTGATGTAGCCCAGAGTCCATTCCACTGAGGCCATGTCTCTCTGCCTGACACTGAAGTGAGTTCAGAGGCACGGTCTTTGGGTGCCAGCTTGGGGTCAGTGGGCCATCAGATTTTGCCTAGTGCGGAGTTTTACCATGGCAGGCTTGTCACCAAGTCAAGATCAAAGTCCTGCTTTTATATCCCTCTTTTTCCCCCAGTAGATGGAGTCAGTCTCCAAGCTGTGCTGCCTAGGGTTGGAAGAAGGATAATGGGGTCCCAGTCCTGCCACCAGGACTACTACATCCCCGGGGCACCAACCAGGCCCATACCACTATAACCTTCCTGCTGCTGAAGTTCACTTGTGGCCTGAGGCTACTGTAGATGCCAGGACACAAGTCTGTCACACTAAGGCCACAGGTTTCCACATAGTAGCAGGATGGGTCCTTCCTTGTCTGCGTACCTTGGTCTGCGGTTAAGGGCCATGGGGTTCTGCCTGGTGTTGGGTTTTACCGCGGCAGGCCCAGTACTGAGCAACAAGTCAAAAGTCCTGCAGTCACTTCCTCTCCTTACCCCAAGTGGGCTGTATCTCTCTCTCTGTGTGCTGTGCTTATAGTTGGGGGAGAGGTGGTTCAGGCATTGCACCTCTGTCTTTCCTCCCCTCTTCAGTTGATCTTTTCTTAGTAATGCTAAAGCCAGATACAGTCATCTCTGATCTGGTTCCTTGGCTCTTGTGAAGTTACTTTCATGCATAGATCACGTTCAAATTGATGTTTCTGTGGGGAGTCAGTCACTTGAGAGTCTTATTCTGCCATCTTGACTCTGCCTCTTCTCCAAATTCTATTTATCAGATAGAGGAAAGCATGAGTTCCTCAGCAATGACAGGTGTTCCTTAATTCTAAAGGGAGAATATTAAATAACATAATGGACAAGTCATTAAAAAACAAACAAAAAAACTAATCTGGCAAGCATAAGCCCTGCCCTCAAATTGCTCATAGTCTTTGAGGAGTGATCAGATAAAAAAGGGGGTAATTGTTTCAATAAGATACACAATATCAGAGCACACAGAAGAGGCATTCAACTAAATTCTAAAGAAAGGCATTGGACAGGAAATTGTTTCCCAGGAAGAGTTGTTCTTGATCTTTGAAACAAAGTAAAAGTTAACAGGGCCAAGAAGAGACTTGAAAGAGATAAAACTGAAGGAGAAAGGAGAGATGGTGCATACCAAAGGTGCAGCATGCTTAGTGGCTGAGCCAAGAGAGATGATTTCTTGAAGTAAAGTTTTATAATTTGATACAATTGGAGTTTAAGGAACAAAGTGCAAAGAAATGGGAGTTGAAGTAGGCAGTAAACGAAACTGTTAGGTATTTCTACTGACCTGTCAGAAATAAGGAATAATTTCCTGAGATACTAAGAGTACCATGAACAAAGAAATTTTGCAGACCTCTGGCTTTGTACATAATATTAAAGAACAAATCTGTGAAAGCGGTTCATAAAGTGTTTTCTGATGAATGTGTAAGGATTGAAACAAAAATATTTGGAGGAATGGAACTGGCTTAAACTAAACACTTTTTGCCTCAGTCCACTTTACCTGAAACTAGACAATAGGAATTTGGGATTTTATTCTTTGACAATAGGTATGTGCTAGTGTTTTTAACAACTAGCCAAGGGTAGACACTTAAACTTTGGAAGCCAAATGGATCGTACGACTTCTATTCCATTATAAATACTGAAAAATCTAGACAGTATTTTGGCTCAGGTAGAAGATCATTGTTTATCTGTAGAGTGACAGATCAGAAATATAATTTCTAACAGGTGCAGGTGCAGATTACCTATTTTAGGAATTCTTAACCTAGGATCCATGGAACCTGGTATAATTATATGTAACAACATTAAATTTTCTTTGTACTGTTTTTTGTTGGAGTTTCAAAGAAATTCTTAGCTAGAAGCAGGCGGGGCATGTGATTCATGCCTGTAAACCCAGCACTTTGGGAGGTCAAGGTGGGAGGATCACTTAGGCCAGGAGTTTGAGATCAGCCTGGACAACATGACAAAATCCCATCTCTACCCAAAAAAAAAAAAAAAGAGAGAGAGAGAGAGAGAGATGTTTATAGAAATCAACTAATCAACTGCTTCATATTTTGCATAATACACCTGCAGGCATAAGGTAAATTGATATGAGAACTAAGACTAGATCCCATATCACCCATTGGCTCACTTTTTTCACTATTTTGCATGATACATAATTTTTAGAAATTAAGATTGAATGTAGAAAGTATTCACATCAACTTATTTATATGGATGTGAGGAATTCTCAAAAAATTAAAGAATATCTTTGAATTAATGAGGTCTGTGATTCAAAGGTACAAAAAGGCTGCAGTGTTTCTTTTTCTTTTCCACGTCCTTCATAAACTCAAGTCCCCTCCCCAGAGGTAACCATTATCTGTGGTTTCTTGTGTTTCAGAATTTAAACATTTTAAATCCAATGGTATTATAGTAATGGACTTTGAAACAGTAAATGATACAGAAATAGCTAGAACATAACTTTGGTTGTTGTAAATGTAGATTAGCTGTGCTTAACTAACTGGATTTTCATTTTAAGGTGACTGTACTGTGTATTGTCTTAGCTTCCATCAATAGAACACAGTTTAGAGGTGTTCTCAAGTAATGATGCTTTTGTAGTGAGTCAACCAAATTACCAATTGGCATACTTAGTCTTGAAATAGACAGTTAGCCGTTCATGTCTGTGGATTCTTCATCTGCAGATTCAACCAATTGCAGATTGAAGTATTAGGGAAAAATAACAAATTAACTAAAAATAATACAAGTAATACAGCATAGCAACTATTTACTTACCACTTGTATTGTGTATTATAAATAATTAGAGAGTAAAGTAAGGGGTGTGTATTTAGATTATATGCAAATACTAAACCATTTTATATAAGTGATTTGGGCATCTTTAGATTGTGGTATATTGTGGGATCCTGGAACCAGCCTTCCACACATACCAAATAACAACTGTATAAATGGAGTTCTGAATATAGTTTTCCCAAGCCCTAGTACATTTAATTTTTTAACTAAAAAGTGGTCATAAGGGTATCTATTTTGCCAGTATTATTTTTAAGAAGTTTCTTACAGAAGATAAAATTACTCACCTATTGAATTTTTTTATTTGTATAAATTTAAGGGATGCAAGTGTAGTTTTGTTACATGAATATATTGTGTAGTAATGAAGTCTGGGCTTTTAGTGTTTACCTATAGAATTTAATAGTACTTTTTATTTATTAAGTGACTACAGTGATCCAGTACTTGTATTTAGAACTTCATTTACAGCATTTGTGAATTATCACAATATCTCTAAAAGGTGGCCACTATTATTATTTAGATTTTGTAGACTATCAAAACTGAGTATTTGAAAAGTTAAGTAACTTGCCCAGGGTTCACAGTGTAGGGGCTGGGATCTAACGTGGGTTCCTAAGATACCAAAATCCGCTATCTTTATATAGCCTTTGTGTGTAGATTTGTTGTGTTCACTTTATTTTAATATAAATCTATTTGTCAAGTAATGGTACTTAGTGAGTGGCCAGTGAGTTCTTGAATTTATTATTTTGTGTGGTTATAATAAAAGTCAATAAGTAGTTGGTCTGTTGCTTATTAAGGAGATAAATATAGTTAACTGTAATGTAATCAAGAAAGACTCTCTTAGGCTGAAAACACTGCATATTTACTGAGCAGCCAACTCTCCTAAACTCCCACATTTGTATGTTTATTTTTTTCTGTAGGGGGATTCCCGAAGTCTTCCGTTTTCTGAGAATGTGAGTGCTGTTCAAAAATTAGACTTTTCAGATACAGTGGTGCAACAGAAATTGGATGATATCAAGGATCGAATTAAGAGAGAAATAAGGAAAGAACTGAAAATCAAAGAAGGAGCTGAAAATCTGAGGAAAGTCACAACAGATAAAAAGAGTTTGGCTTATGTAGACAACATTTTGAAAAAATCAAATAAAAAATTAGAAGAACTTCATCACAAGCTACAGGAATTAAATGCACATATTGTTGTATCAGATCCAGAAGATATTACAGGTATAGTAGTGCTTTATTTGATGTTTACATGGTATATTTTTAAAAAAATGTATCTTTTTAGAAAATAGTAAGTTTTGGTACATGAATAGTTTTTAGCTTTTCTGAAAGTACACAGACTTTTCTCTTTTGGTTAAGGTCTTATTTATATTCTGTTCAGAAGGGCAGAAGTTGATAGGTATGGAAATTGAAATGTTTAGTTAGAATTTAATAACCCTAATGTATTCTCTCTTACTGTCTGTTGGTAGGACATTACTTAGAGTGAGTCTCCAGTATTAATGTTTCATGTTGAGTCAATCACATGCTCTTACCTGATTCATCCTGTAATCAACAGCACAAGTTTGCCAGCTGACTTAAAACTGTGTTCTTTGAACAAGAGATGGTTTTATTCTTTGCAGATATAATTAATCAGACCTATGGCCTTCATTCTTTGTGCTCTAAGCAACTGAATTAACAACTAAACTACTAGGCATAGTGTTCAAAAAGAAAAACACTATATGTGTTCACAAAGAAAAACAATAGAAAAAACTGTTACACGTTACTTTTATTTTCTTTAAGCATAGAAAATAAAAGGGAAAATATAACCTATGATTTCAATGTAAAAACATAATTTTTAAACAATAGAATTAATATTTATGTTGGAATTTTTTTAATGGTACAGAAAGTAAAAATTAAAAAACCACCTCTTTCTTTCTTAGACCGTCTCCTTAAAGGTAACATTACTTTTTGTTGTATATCCTTCCAGATAAAAAAAATTCTATGTTTGTGCCAGTATTCACCCATCAGTATGTATAGTCTTTCTTTAACTTTTTATACAAAATCTTATGTAAGATACATTTGGTCTTATCCTTGCAATAATAATTGCAAGGATATTTGCATTTGGTTCAAGGTCTCAAGACATTATCAATCTCTATAACTGTCAATTTTTTTATTTGCAAAGAAAAAGAGTATGAGAGTGTATAGAGTAATACACCTATAACATGGTAGAAAATTTAGAAGAACCTGTGTAATTAGCTAATAAATAATAGATGTAAGTAATTTTGATTTTGATTAAGAAAATACATAAATTTGGCTAAGAACCTTAAATATTTACCATCTCAAAAGTTGCAGAAAACGCTACTGATATTTAGTGTTCTTGTTAAAACTTGGTTTTCGACATCACTTTCAAAATCTGGGATTTAGGGCTTTTATTAGGAGACTCTCTATGTAGAGATTTCAACCTTGTAAGAATAATTGAAACTTTAAAATGAAAGAAGTAATAGGAAACCCAGCTTCTAATTTTGGATTGAAATAATCCCAAAGATACAAATTAATTTTTTCAGAATCACCAATCTAGTTAAAAAGAACCCTTCAGCTCTTCATCTAGTATTCTTACACACTCAGTAATTATGTTATAAATGGAAATAATGTATTATGAAAATGCTGTTTTTAGTAATATTACATAAACTTAGAAATAGCCTGTTCCATGGAACTCTGCCAAACTCTAGGTTTTTTTGGTTTTGTTTTGTTTTGTTTTGTTTTGTTTTTGCCTGTTACATCTTTAAGAGCAGTCTAAAATAAGAAACAGCACTGAAGCTTTAAACTCTGTTTATTTAGAGAAATTTTCCTCCTCACAGAATACTGATAACTACCTTGTGATTCACTGGAATATAGAAGAGTTTTATCAACACGAGGAGCCCATTTGGTTTCCCCATTCCTTTTGTAAAAGTTAACTTTACTGTGGCCGGGCACGGTGGCTCATGCCTGTAATCCTAGCACTTTGGGAAGCCAAGGCAGGCAGATCACTTGAGGCCAGGAGTTCAAGACTAGCCAGGCCAACATGGTGAAACCCTGTCTCTACTAAAAATGTAAAAATTAGTTGACGTGGTGGCGTGTGCCTGTAGTTCCAGCTACTCAGGAGGGTGAGGCCTGAAAATTGCTTGAACCCAGGAAGCGGAGGTTGTGTTGAGCCAAGATCGTGCCACTGCACTCCAGCCTGGGCAACAGAGAGCAATTCTGTCTCAAAAAAAAAAAAAAAAAAATAGATTTATTGAAGTATAAATTACATATGACAAAATGCACATATTTTAAGAACATGATTTAATGATTTTTAATAAATGTGTGTGTGCACCCAGCTAACCATCTCTACAATCGATCCAGAACATTTTCATCACTTCAGTGGTTCTCGTATATTCCTTCCCAGCTAAACCATGATCCCCAACCCTGGCCATAGGAACCCACTGATCCATCTTCTATCACTTTAGATTGAATTTGTCTTTTCTAGTGTTTTATATAAAGAAATTACCTCCTTTAAGTCCTATCAAATTCCTGATCACCCTTAAAAACCAATTTTTAGGTATTATGATAGAACCTTCCATGACATTTTCTGCTCTATCTTCTCTGTGCTACTTTATCCATTCATTGTTGCATTGTAACGTATTTCTGTACATGTTTATATCACTTACTAAACTGTCTTCTCCTTGAGGGGAGGGACATGTGTTCACTCATCTATTTTAAAGGCTTATTACAGAAACTGAAACATAGTAGGTGTTCACTTGTGAATATTATATCTCAAAATAGAAAAATACCCAGCAAATCCACATCTTGTATTAGTCTTTAGAATTAGTATCAAAGCCTAATTATTATGACACTTGAAACATTAAATAACTTAGAAAACAAAGACTTAAGCCAGAAACTTATTATACTGACCATTTTTAATACTGACATTTCAGATAATTGGAGGGCAGATGATATATGAAATACAACTTTATACTGTGACTTCTTAATACTTCAGTTTGTTTAGACTTGATGAGTTCGTCAGATTTTTATTTCATTTTAAAAAATTCTGTTTGCAAATGGCACATTTACACAACTTGGTAATAAGTTATTTTTTTCTTTTTCCCATTTTACTAACTTAACAACATAAAAAGCAACAACCACAACATAGAGGATTAAAATTAATGTCATTAATTTTAGGCCAGTTTGCCATAAAATTTTAGATGTTTTACCTTGCACACTAAGGTAAACTTATTTTAGATTAGGTCTGGCAAGAAGATTCAAGGACATTGTACTTTGCTTTCAGTTGTGAAAGGTATGAGTGGATTTATAACAGAAGTGTTTGACTAATTCCTGTTGTCTTGTGGGTACATAAGCTTAGTAAGCAGAACAAATGACTTAAGGAAAGAGTGACAGAATTTAAATCTGCATTGTATAAATAATTACTAAGTGGTAGGGGACTTGTTCCTTTTTTTTTGAGATGGAATCTCCCTCTGTCACCAGGCTGGAGTGCAGTGGTGCAATCTCGGCTCACTGCAACCTCCGCCTCCCGCATTCAAGTGATCCTCCTGCCTCAGCCTCCCAAGTAGCTGGTACTACAGGCTCCACGCCACCACCCCCAGCTAATTTTTGTATTTTTAATAGAGGCAGGGTTTCATCATGTTGGCCAGGATAGTCTTGATCTCTTGACCTTGTGATTCGCCCACCTTGGCTTCCCAAAGTGCTGGGATTATAGGCGTGAGCCAACCCACCCGGCCAGGGACTTGCTTTTAATTCACCTCTGTAATAATGATCTCTTTGAATCTTTAGTTCATTGTTTGTAAAATAAGGATTTTTATCAGGTGAACTTTTAAACTATAAAACTCTGAAATATTCCTTATTGTAATGTCAAGGTCTGATTGTTTGAGAAAGTTATTTGTATAATAAATGTATTAATTCTTAATAGTAGTAGGAAATGAATTATTTATTTTCTCATCATGCCCATGATACTCTGAGCTTCTTGTTCATCTTCCATGTACTTTAAAGATGATCATATGATTTTTGCCTGTAAGATTATCCCCATAGGAGCAGAAAAATCATTTAAGAAAATTCAGCATTGTTTCATGATAAAAAATTCTGTGAACAAATTAGGTATAGAAGAAATGTTTCTCAACACAAGAAGGTCTATATATGACAAGCCCACAATTAACATTGTACTTAATGGTGAAAAGCTGAAAGCTTTTCTTCTAAGATCAGGAACAAGATCAGGATGCCCACTCTGAACACTTCTTTTCAGCATAGTCTCTAATCCCTAGCTAGAGCACTTAGGCAAGAAAAAGAAATAAAAGATACACAAATAGGAAAGGAAGAAGTGAAATTGTCTGTTTGTGAACAACACAATCTTACATATATGTATAAAATTCTAACACCATAAAGCTGTTAGATCTAATAAAGGAATTCAGTCAAGTTGCAGGATACAAAATCAGCATACAAAAGTCAGTATCATTTCTATATACTAACTATATAATATCAGAACAAAATTAAAACAATCTCATTAATAGCATAAAACATACCTAGTAAATTTAACCAAGAATTGAAAGATCTCTGTATAGAAAACTATAAAACATTGATGAAAGAAATTGCAGATGGTACAAATAAATGGAAAAATCTCCTGTGTTCATGAATTGGAAGAATTAATATTGTTAAAATGTCCAGACTACCCAGTGTGATCTACAGATTCAAGGTAATTTGTATCAAAATCCCAATATATTCTTCACAGAACTAGAAAAAAAAATCCTAAAATTTGTATGGAATCAGAAAAGACTCTGCACCATCTTGAGCAAAAGGAACAAAACTAGAAGCATCACATTACCAAATTGCAAAATATTACAAAGCTATAGTAATCCAAACAGCATGGTAATGACATAAAAAATAGACTCATTAACCAATGGAATAGAAAAGAGAGCCCAGAAATAAACCCATGCAATTCAAGTCAATTGATTTTTGACACATCTGCTGAGAACACATGGTGGGGACTAGAGAGTCTTCAATAAATGGTGTTGGGAAGACTGGATATCCACCTGCAGAAGAATGAAAATGGATCTTTATCTTACCCTTATACGTAATACCTTTATATCTTATACCTTTAAACCTTATACCTTTATACCTTATACCTTTATTTTATCTTATACATTTATAAGACTTAAATGTCGGTCATTAAACTATGAAACTGCTAGAAGAAAATATAGAGGGTAAACTCTTTGACATTG